TATTGAGATTTTCCATTGTCTCTTTCCACAGATGTAGTCGATTTGATTCCTGTGTATTCCATCTGGCAAGGTCCATGTGTATAGTCACTGTTTATGTTGGTGAAAAAAGGTATTTGCAATGAAAAAGTCGTTGGTCTTGCAAAATTCTATCATGCGATCTCTAGCATCATTTCTATCACCAAAGTCATATTTTCCAACTACTTATCCTTCTTCTTTGTTTCCAACTTTAGCATTCCAATCACCTGTAATTATCAATGCATCCTGATTGCATGTACCATCAATTTCAGACTGCAGAAGTTGGTAAAAATCTTCAATTTCTTCATCTTTGGCCTTAGTGGTTGGTACGTAAATTTGAATAATAGTCGTATTATCTTGTCTTCCTTGTAGGCATATGGATATTATCCTATCACTGACAACACTGTACTTCAGGATACATCTTGAAATGTTCTTTTTGACGATGAATGCAATGCCATTCCTCTTCAGTTTGTCATTCCTGGCATAGTAGAACATATGACTGTCCAATTCAAAATGGCCAGTACCAGTCCATTTCAGCTCACTAATGCCTAGGATATTGATGTTTATGCATTTCAATTTTGACAATTTCCAATTTTCCTAGATTCATATTTTCGTACACTCCACATCCAGATTATTAATGGATGTTCGCAGCTGTTTCTTCTCATTTTGAGTTGTGCCGCATCAGCAAATGATGATTCCGAAAGCTTGACTCCACCCAAGTCATTAAGGTCGACTCTACTTTGAGGAGGCAGTTCTTCCCCAGTCATCTTTTGAGTGCCTTCCAACCTGTGGGGCTCATCTTCCGCACTATATTAGACAATGTTCTGCTGCTATTCATATGGTTTTCACTGGCCAATTCTTTTCAGAAGTAGACTGCTGGGTCCTTCTTCTTAGTCTATCTTAGTCTGGAAGTGCAGCTGAAACCTGTCTGCCATGGGAAGCTATGTCACCAGTATTCAGAAAGGTAGTATAGAAAATATAATTTGTCATTTGCTAAAGAAAAAAATTATCGGCAGTCTGTTTTTTTATGGGGAGTAATTCTTTGTGCTTTTCTGTGTTTTCCAAGTTTCCTGCATTAAGAATATATTACTCTTGCAATTAAAAAAGGAAAAACAAATGATGGTTAAAGAAAGTCTTCAAAAGAGGCTTGATATCAAGCTGATATTAACCTCTAGAGGTTAACACACAACCCAGAGAATTTAATTGTAACAAATGTTCATTGTTACAATATTAACTATATTTATTAATTATAAATATTTAAAGTGTTAAAAAGCAAAGACTTCACTTTGAAGACTAAGGTGCACCTGCAGGCCATGGCATTTTCAGTTGCCTTATATGCGTGCAAAAGCTGGACAATGAATAAAGAAGACCAAAGAAGAATTGATGCGTTTGAACTACGGCGTTGGCAAAAAATACTGAACATACCACAGACTGCCAGAAGAATGAACAAATCTGTTCTGGAAGAAGTACAGTCAGGATGCTCCTTAGAAGTGAGGATGGCAAGACTTTGTTTCACATACTTTGGACATGTTATCAGGAAGGACCAGTCGCTGGAGAAGGACATCATGCTTGGTAAAGTAGAGGGTCAGTGAAAAAGAGAAACACCCTCAACGAGATGGATTGACACAGTAGCTGCAACAATGGGCTCAAACATAGCAATGATTGTGAGGATGGTGCAGGACTGGGCAGTGTTTTGTTCTGTTGTACATAGGGTTGCTATGGGTGTGAACTGACTTGACAGCACCTAACAACATTAATTATAACAAATATTTACTGAGTCCTACTAAAATCTTGGCACTGTACTATCTACTGAGGATATAAATATAACACGTCATCTCTATCTTTGAGAAGCATAAAGTCGCTGTGAGTTAAAAAATAATATAATCAAAGATTACACATAAAATTAGGATTGATATAACCCACTGACAATAATCAGTGAGAAAAGCAGAAAATACTATATAGGTGTCTATGTTTACACTTCCACTAGCAGTGTATAAGAGTTCCAACTGGTCCTCATCCTCACCCAAACTTGGTTTTGTCAGTCTTTTTCATTTTAGCCATTCTTGTGGGTGCGCAGTGCTATTTTACTGTGGTTTTAATTTGCATTCCTGATAACTAATGATGTTGAGCATCTTTTCAAGTGCTTATACACATTATTCACTTTTATAAACAAGACTGGGATGATAGTGTATGTATTGTTTTATAGATACCTGAACAGAATGGGAGCAGCAAGCAAGTTATTAGGCTCTACTGGCCTAGTGGTTCGTATACGTAGCCTGGCAGGGAATATCTTATTTTGCTAATAATTTTAGGTAGACTACCTCCTCTTTTCAGGTGGGCAATACTCAGCAAATGATTGTTTTAAAAGCCTGAGTCTTAGATCTTTCACTTCATTCCCTTCCCTTTTCCTAACCCCAACAAACTTATAATTTTTACCCCTTAATTTTATCATCTGCTTTCAAAAACCCAAACCAAAGCCATTGCCTTAGAGTCGATTTCGACTCAGTGACCCTATAGGACAGGGTAGAACTGCCCCATACAGTTTCCAAGAAGCGGCTGGTGGATTCGAACTGCCGACCTTTTGGTTAGCAGCATGAGCTCTTAACCACCAGGGCTCCTCATCTGCTTTATCTGTTCCTAATTCTCAGAGCGCTGCTGGAGGAAAATGTACAATCATTTGGACCTAGCACATGTCAGGTTCACAAATTCTAATTCCATCCTTGACCATTATTTATTTAACTCCCTAGGCATATCCTACATGCAATTCCACTCTTGCACTTTTCCTTACACTCTTAATTTTGACCCAGGGTATAGTCAGTGTATAGTTGTTGATTATATTTACTCTTGAAAAGATATTTTTCACCTTTAGAAATACTTTTAATTCATGGCAGTTTGGGGCAATGTTTCATCGTTACTATTTATTGTTCAAGATCATGATAATATTTAATGAAAATAAAAGAAAACAAAACATCTATTATTCTACCATCCAAAATAAAATCACATTGTTAATTTTTCCCATTTCTTTCCAAGGTTTGTTCACTGTAGAAAGCTTCAAAACTTAAATTTAATAGTCATTTGTTACTATTTGGCCCAAAGCATGGTTGTTATTTATTGTGATGACATTCTGATCTCTTCCAAGGATGCTAATGATCCGCAAAGAAGAAACAACAAGCCAGCATGATACAAGTACTTACCAAGAAGGGCTGATGCCAGAATAATCATGCCAGAGCCGAAGGCTATGCAGTTCTCCTAAAGAGGACTCAGTGGTGAGGAAGAAGACATCCAGTCCCCCTTGTTCAAAGACTGCCTTTTGGGAGTCACAAAGGTGATGGGGCTCACTCGATCCCTCTGATCCATACAGGGTGATAACAACCTCAAACGTGACAAGAAAAGATAAAATACAGCAAGTTCTAACATGATTCTTTGGAGAATGATGAAGATTTAGGAAACTGTAATTGGATTAAATGTTTGGAATCTTATATATATAGATTGTATATATAGAGAGAGGGTCCTTCAAATTGACAGTTTAGAACTAGGAAATATCAATCTCTATGATCCCTTCCAAAGAACTATTGGACATTGAGAGATCACCAAGTTAGTGTATTTCATGTGTAGATGACACAAAACAATGAATGAAGAACATTTATTTCATTAACCTTGGCTGTTGTAGCAGCCCTTCTCTGATATCCAGAATAGACCTGAATAAGGTAGTAAAATTGAGAGCTGGGGTCATTATCAACCAGGACGGTGACCTTCACCTGAAAGAAGAGCAGAATCAAGAAAATTGCTTCACTTAGTATACCCCCTTGTTTCCTCCAATTCAGACAGGAGGATACACTGCTGCAGATGTGGTAACCCTACGGAAAACAAGGGTGAGGTGTAGTTTTAAAAGACAACAAACAAGTAGACCTAAGTTACGAGACTAAAGGGGGAGATGAAGGCTGAAACTCTAGGATTTATACCTCTAAAATGAAATACTCATAGAATCAACTGATCAGGTCTTAGGCCTCTAAGTCCTTTCACCTCCCTCCCACCTTGGTAGGATTCCCAGATAAAATACAGGACACCAGTTAAATCTGAATTTCAGATAAATAGTGAATAATTTAGGACAGACTTCTACTAAAAGTGTATTCATTATTTATTTGAAATTCAAATTTAGCTGGGTGTCCTGCGTTTTTATTTAGTAAATCTCACAACCCTACACCAAAGGCAACAAAGAAATGGATACTGTGTATTACAGAATTTCCAAGTGTAAGAAAGCATAAGAATAAGAAATATGTAGAACAGAAATTGAGAAGGAGCTGTCATCAAAGAATTTTTTTGGTTGTTGTTTAAAAAAAGTTTCCTTACAGGTTTTTCTTTTCTTTTCTTTTCTTTTTTTGTGGCATCTATCATACCCCATCTCTGCTCCTTAGTTTGCTTGTGTAATCTCTTTCATTTATTTATTGAACAATTTATCGTTGTTTAGGTGAAAGTTTACGGAGCAAATTAGTTTCCCATTCAACAATTTATACACAGCTTGTTTTGTGACATTGGTTGCAAACCCCTGAATGTGTCAGCACTATCCCCTCTACCTCCCTGGGTTTCCCATGTCCATTCACCCAGCTTTGCTTCCCCTACCGTCCTTCTGAACTTTGCTTTTGGGCAAATGCTGCCCTTTAGGTCTCATATAGTTGATTGTTCCGAGGTATATATTCCTCACTGATGTTATTGTTCATTTTATAGGCTGTCTATACAATGTATGGCTATAATGTGGTCTCTTGGAGTGATTTCAGCTCCAAGTTTGAAGTGTGTCTAAGGGCCATAGTCTCAGGGGTTCCACCAGTCTTTATTAGACCGGTAAGTCTGGTCTTATTTATGAGTTTGAATTTCGTTCTACAAATCTCTCCCACTCTGTCCATGACCTACTATTGTGGTCCCGGTCAGAGTGGTAGGTAGTGGTAGCCAGGCACCATCTAGTTCTGGTTTCAGGCTAGAGGAGGTCGTGGTTCACTGGTCCATTAATCCTATGGACTAATTGTTTCCTAGAGTCTTTGGTTTTTTTACTCTTCTTTCCTCTGGACAGGAAGAGACCAATTGCATCTTAGATGGCTGCTTGTGAGCTTTTAAGACTCCAGTCACTACTCACAAATGTAGGACGTAGAACAACGTCTATATGGACTATGATATGCCAATTGACCTAGATGTCCCCCCAGACTATGGTCCCTAGCACTCAAGCCCAGTGTCTCAGTCTTGGGAGGTGTATGGTTATGGCTAAGAAGTTTTCACATCTGTGTCCCCTGTGCACACTATTGCATACATGGATATATTTGCAGCATGTACACACATATATGTACGTGGGTGTACTTCCATATACCCTCCCAGCCCTGCTCAGCTTACATATCTACCTGTGCATCTACTCATACATTATTGCTTGTTATTACTGTTGTTATAGGACTATATATGTATTAGTATTTATCATTGTTGTCTTTTACTGTTATGTACCTTTCAGTGTCTTCCTTTACCTTGATTATGTTGTGCTGACCTCCTCACAGGTTTCTTGTATATTGCAGCTACATTAAATTATAATTTGACTTACATATAACTTTCATATCCAATGTATAAAGTAAGATAAACTTAGACATTTGATTTTAGTTAAGTTCTTTAGGTGTTTTCTTTCGGCTCATTCCTAACCTAAATTTGTCACCTGAGGGTCCTACCTAGGCTAAAAGAAAAAAAACATGGCGATAAAGAGTTATTTTCTTAGATTGTTAGACAGTAGATATAAGGAGAAATTTAAGAAAAATCCACTTGAATTTTTATACTACACAGTACCATAGTACTGCCTCTTCTGATAAAGGTGCTTTTTTTTTCCTTCCCCCATCTCATTCAACATACTCAAGACATTGTGGCAAAGTTTTCAAAATCAGAGTCTCCTCACCTTCTGCATATCAGCTTGATCTTTTCTCCAAGCCCACACAACTATGATCATATAGAATCCTAAAATGCTGGCCAGCAATGACACCCCAACAGGGTTGTTGGTCACATGAAGAAACAGCTTGATTGTGTCTTCAATATTCACTGTCCTAGGCACAATGAAGAAGTCACTTGTAAAGCAGGTCAAGTGGTTACAGAGACATTGTGTCCTCAAAACTGTGCTCTGCCGTCCAACCTGGAATTAGGATCAAGATGTTGAGTCTAACTGAATAGAGTGCTAAGGAAGGGACAACCGTAAAAGGAAAAGACAAATGTAAATGAAGGCAATTAGAGGTGGAAAGAATGAATCTCTTACCCACTGCTGGTGGCAGTGTAAATTGTATAAGCAATGTGGACAGCAAATTGGCAATGTCTGGTAAAGCTGAAGAGGCACAAACTGTTTTAATCCTGCAATTCCAGGTCTGAATATATATCCTAGAGAAACTAGGACACACAAGGAGATGTGAGAAAGAATTTTAATGTCTGCATTGCTTGTAACTATAAGAAACAGAAAACAACCTATATGTCCAATAACAACAAAACATGCAAACAAACAAGTAAATAGAGCCGAATCAATGGAATAATATGCAGGAGTTAAACTGAATGAACTAGAGGTAGATGTACCAACACAGATAAATACTACTGAGTGAATAAAATAAGTTATTAAAGAAAGATATGTACAGTGTGGCAACATTTTCACAAAGACTAAAAGCATATAAAACAATACCTATCATTCTCTGACATTATATTAAATACTTATCTATTTATTGTCAGTCTTCCCCACGAGAATGTAAGCTCATGAGAACATTGTCTTGTCCACTGCTCTATCTCTAGTTTCTAGACTTGGACCTGGCATATAGAAGATGCTCAATAAATATTTGCTGAAAAAATAAATACATATGTATATAGAAACGTAAGAATGAAAAGCATCAAGTTCAGAGCAGTGGTCACCCTTGGGAGAAAGGGAGGGACTGGGACTAGGGAGGGACACACAGAAGGCTTTGATTAATTCTAAGTATTTTATTATTAAAAAAATGAAATAAATAGAGCAAAATAGTAATTTTTGATAAAGCTGAGTGGTAAGTTTTACGTGTGTGTTTTTGTTGTTGTTGTTGTTATATTATTCCCTGCAACTTTCCATGTTTCTAGCGTTTCTTTATTAAAAAAAAAATTTTTTTTAAGTATGTCAGTAGGTAAGTACACAAAAGCACTGATTCCATGTTTGATTTTGCAGATGAAAAGCCTAAAATATTGCCACTATGGCTGACTCTTTGTTTCCAAGGCATAAGGTTAAAGTCTAGATGCTCAATCTGTATTCTGCCCTGGGAATAACTCTTATCCTGAGCAAGCAGCTCTGCTCCTCTTCTGGAGTCCAACTTCTACAAAGAGCTTCAAGAAGGTGGACATATCCCAGGGTCTTCTGCAATCAAAGGGTCTGTGTTGTGAGAGGAGGAAAGCTCTCCTGACTTGATGCTGAAAATGTGGTTTCCCTAACTAAATAAGCAGCATCAACATCACCTGGGAACTTGTTAGAAATGCAAAATCTCAGGCCCCACCGCAGACCTACTGAATCAGAATCTGCATTTTAAACAAGCTCCCCAGTTTGAGGATTTTCTTGAGAAGCGTATGCTTCTAGAAGCACTGCTCTAGATCATCCAGAAATCCTTGCTTAAGGCCACTAATGGTGCAGATGCCTTCCAGAGAATCCTCTTTCCTTCTATTTTCAAACTGGATGACTTTCTTAGTATCTTTTAAGAACAGCTTCATAATTTCCAGAACCTTGAACTACTTTCTTTGTGCTACCAAACCAACACTTAAATCAGAAACGATCTTACAGCATCACTAGTGTGAAAATGTAGTGTCATTTTAAAGTGGTCAGACACCAGGAGCAAGGCTATAATTACAAAATAACTTGCCTCCACTTGGCCTGGAATGTACAAGAATCTGTTAGCTTATTTATAACTACCAAGAATGTGTTGTATTTAGCAGGAAGTTTGTTTTCATTTGGAACCTTGGTGGCGCAGTGGTTAAGAGCTTGGCTGCTAACCAAAAGGTCAGCTGTTCAAATCCACCAGATGCTCCTTGGAAACTCTATGGGGCAGTTCTACTCTGTCCTATAGGGTCTCTGTGAGTTGGAATCCACTCAACGGCAATGGGTTTGGTTTTTTGTTTTGTTTTGTTTTCATTTTACCCACAGCATATTTAATACTTGCAGAATCTAACACCGTCCATACACTGTTTTGCTTATTTTATCTAGAATTGTCAGATTCATCCTGGGCTAATGTTTGAGAAAGAAATTACAGCTATCAAGCACAAGCCCGTTCCTGTTCAAAAAAGAAACACTTACCTTGCCCACTATACACAATCCTCCTAGGCTGATTTCCCAGGATGATTTATTTCTCTTCCAATTATTTTTCTTTCTGTGCTGCCCCCAATGAGATAACAGATGCCAGCTAAGGCAGAAAAGTCTCGACTTCTTACTTGGCATCCATTGCTCCTCCATGTCCTGTTGTGGCTGTCCCAGAAATAACACTGAGTGGCAGCAATTATGATTGAGAGCAGGGTGGGCATCTGCTGAGCACTTCCTTGCTTTTATTCAACACAGCTGTTAGGTAGTAGGTGCCGATCCCATATTGCAGACTCTCTGGAGTCAGCACCCATGTATATTCCTCATCTTAGAGCAAAGAAGAGAGTTTAGTTGTATTTCAGATGAGACCAAAATACCAACAGAACCTTTCTTCCGAAGGGTGTATTATTAGTATTTTAGAAAATGATAAGTTTAGAGTCCAAATGATTTTAAAAGAAAATGACACTGATACAGTCTGGGGCTTTGGATTACTCCTGTTTCAGTAAAAGAATCATATTCTTTTGACACATGATCACTTAGGTCTAATAAATTCGAATGCATTATGAGTTTTAGAAAAATGAAATAACCATGCATCTAAATCAGTAGAAAGAAGACCTAGATAACAAAAGAAATCCAGGGACAAAGCAAGGATAGGGACAGAGTGGCTCAAGGGAAAGAGCCCTGGACTGCAAGTCAGAGACACCATTCTAGGCCTGGCTGTCACCAGGGGGGCTGTAAGATCTCGGCAAGTCACACAGTCTCTCTTGGCCTCAGTTTTCTCATCTGTAAAACCAGAGGTCTGGACCAAATGATCCCTAAGCTTCCTTCCAGCTCTAAATGACATGAGGTTATTGTTAAGGTCAGCAAAAGGAACTGAGTGCACAGTCAGATTCAGGAAAGGGCCTGTTGGTAATGCAGAGAGAACTTTGTAGTTGGCAACTCAGCAGTGAGCGTTGTGGCCTCGGGTGCTTCTCCTAACAGGAAAAATAACTTAAAAAGTGATCATTCCAGTATTATGCTAGAGCCAGAAAAACGTTCTTTCAATACAGGGAGACCAGCACGAAGGGAGACTTTAATGTGCTTTATCCATTCTGATATATTTTTCCTGACATTTTATCATGAAAAATTTTCAACCATATAGGAATGTTGAGAGAATTTTACAGTGAACACCTATATATCACCAACTAGATTCTATAATTAACATTTTACTATATTTGCTTTTTCATCTTCTATCCATCCCACAATTCATCTGTTTTTTAAATGCATTTCATGGTCACATGAATCTACACGTGATAAATTCACACAGAACTAAACACACACACACACACACACACACACACACACACACACACACACAGAGAAATGAGTTCATGCAAAGCTGGTGAAAACTGAATAAGTTCAATGGATTGTATAAATATAAATTTTCTGGTTGTAATATTGTACTATAGTTATGCAAGATGTTACCACTGGGGGATAGTGGGTGAAGGGTATATGGAATCTCTCTGTATTATTTCTTATAACTATATGTAAGTGTACAATTATCTCAAATAAAATAACTAAAAAATAAAAAGGAAAAAAATGCATTTCAAAGTAAGTTTCTGAGATCTGACTGGGGTTTTACCTTTCTGCCACACCTTTGGAAGGGTGATGCTCAGGTGGAAGTGAGTGCGGTTAGGCTGATACTGGAAGCCCAGGTAGAGTGTGATTAAAAGACGACTTTCAGGCTCTATGCACACTATCAGGGATGTCTCCAGGGAAGTGATGTTCACTGTGATCGTAAAATGGTCTCTGCTCATGTTGAGACTGGTGGGATGGGTTTCCATGCTAGTATTTCTCCAGAGCATGATCTAGAATAAGAGATAATTAATGAATTTTTATGTTTTAGATGACCCACCCATTGATGCCTTTTGGTCTTCTTTAAAAGTGTTAATGGAATGAAACTTCCTAGGTCTTCCTCTCTGAATATTAGCAGGTAACATAGTGCCTACTATTTTGAGGGAGAGGGTTAAGGGAGAGTAGTCTACACCTAAAACACCTTCTCCTAAGGATAAGGTACATCTATTTGTAAAAGTTCCAAAGTAAAGATGTTAATAACAAAACAGTGTCACTGCCATAAATCTAAAATGAT